TTGCCTCTTGGAACAGAGATTAAGGGTTTTTTAATTTAACATGTGAAAATACAGAATGAGAAAGAGCCAGTGCCCTTGCACATTCCTGTAGGTTCATCTTAACTGAGTATCTCCTATGACAATCAAGTTATTTAGCCAAGCTTTCAACTCACTTTGGAAGTGAGCTTTGGAGGCAACATCATCACTTTGATAAGAAATCTCAGGTAAAGTGATTTACCATATTCTGGAGTGCTACATATCAGTTACACTGGGGTCCTGGATGGCTTTAAAGACCAGTGCATCACTCACCACCCACAGTCACCCTTGCAGGTTGAGCTGCATTGAAGCTAGAGAGCCCAAGCATACCTACCACGTTAGTACGGACCCAGGGTCTGTTCACTTATAAACAGAATCTTGCCTAGAACCCAACCCACCAGTGGCTGTTCCAGGAACTTACCAAATACTCCTAAAAGGGCTTCAGCTTCTTTATGGCAATAGACTGTGGGAAATGCCTGTGGCTTAGTAGCTGGGGTTTTCTAAGCTAAGCTACAGGCAGACTACAACTGGGCTGTATCCAGACACACAGGCAGACATGCAGGAGCTTTTTGTTTTGAAATGACCTATATCATGAGCATGGTCTTCAACTGGAGTGCAGAACAGAAGAAAGAAAATGTCACTCCTGTCTTCAAGGAGGGCGGGAAGTAGGCTGAAGGGTCTACAGGCTGGTAAGCCTCATCTCCTTTCCTGAGGAGTTGATGGAGAAAATCCTCTGGGAAGAAATTTCCAAACTTGTTATGTACAAGAAGGTGATTAGGAGTAGTCAGCATGAATTTATGAAGGAGTAATCATGTTTGGTCAACCTGCATAAAAGCCTTCTACAATGAAGTTATTAACTTGGTGAAAGAGGGGAGAGCAGTTGATGCTGTTTATCTTGAGTTTAGCAAAACTTTCAACACAGTCCATAAGAGTCTTACAGAAAGTCTAGACTAGCTAGGTAGATGGTGAGGTGGACCAGGTCATTGAATGTTCCTAGCTCTAGTTACCACTACAGGTTGCCACAACAGAGACCTGAATACTATGACACTCCCAGCATATTGATTCAGCACCAGTCTTGGAAGAATGAAACCTCATTTGCAGCCAGCTGAGACATTTTTATGTTATCCATATTTATTCAATGGCACTACTATATCTACCTGAGAGTAAGGTGCCACTGAACCCCAAAGTGCTACACAAGGTGATGAACAAGTACACACAGGGCAGGACTTGTCTTCTTTTCTAGAAAGTGACAGGAGAGAAAGTTCAGTGGACAACTCTGGGTATCTGCCTTAGGATGGGATGAATCATACTCTTTCCACTAATAATAGAGGAAACCTAAATTACCTTTGATGCTGCTGGGTAAATTTTAATGAACTTTAAAGCTGACAGACTTTTAGGCAATAGTTGTTAGTTGAGCTTCACTGTCATTCCAAGAACCTCTGCTCTGAACAACTTAGAGCATTAGTAAAGAGAGGAGCATACCTCGTAGTACCCACTATTTGGAGCTGCACTGGCAGGCAGAGACTTTTGGTGATACCTTTTCACTGCAAGATATGCCTGGTAACCACTGGGCAAAGTTGCTTTTCCTGTCTACATGAGCAGCAAAGAGTATGATGATGTGCAAGGTGGTGCTCAGTCTTCCCTACGGGATCGGCAATCATATCCCTGGGTTGCATGCTGAGGAGGTGTGAGACCAATCAATCTCCTCTGGAAGAACTTTGGAGGTCTTTGCAGGAGGGCTGAAATAGTGGCTGTCCCTCATTGGTGAGTCCCACTTGTTTAGCAGCCTGAGGTACTGTTTGGTGAATGCCAACAAGGAGAAATTTGTGCATCTGTCATGGGAAGCAGCAAGACTAGAGAAGGACAGCTGGGTGCTGAGAACTCCCAAAACTTGAGCTGAAGCAAATGGTGCTGGAGGTCAGACCCTGATGTTTGTGGGTTCCATGCTCCTACAGCAATGCTGTGATCCCATGGGGCTCCAGAAGAGGATTAAGTCTTCAGCAAATGAATAACCAAACCTGGCAAGCTCCATTTGCTATACCATTAAATTAACACTTTATGGAGGAGGGGAAAGAAAAAAAAATAAAGAAGAAAAACCAAGATGAGTATGGAGCTGCCAGGTTTAGCCAAGCAGCTTTGTAAGTACCTGGGCTCCTGTTCATTTCCGTGCTGGTGTTTGGCTTTCAGCACTCACCAGCTCCTATCTCTCAATCATTGCCACCACAGGAAAACGCTTGCTGCTTACCACGTCACTCTTCACACACCACAGGCACAGCTGGGAGGGTTTTCAGGCACTAGTGAGACACATAGCACACACGTTTGTGGTGGCATGTACCCACCCCTCCCCATCTCCCTCCCCCCTCCTCAGTGGTTTTATTTGGTTTTTAAGCTGAAGGCACCTTGCAGAGAGAAGCAGGCACTTCTTGTGGTTTGCACCAAAAGCCCTACAGAAAGCCTCACACCGTGTCTGCTCTAGCAGTTACTCAAACGTGTTCCTTTACAAGTCACTCTTATGTTTGGCTGTTTTAGCTACATGGGACCACAGCTGGAGTGCAGAGAGCCCTGCTTCTGGTCAGAGAGGTGTTAAATCCTGTTGCTCTTCAGTTACTTAACCTCAAGAAGTGATTCAGCACCCTCCTTCCTTAGTCTATGCTCTTGGGGTGTCCTTGCCCTGGTGTCAAGCACAAACCACTGTGCCGTTGCAAATAAAAGATCCCTAAGAACCATTTAGAGTGGGATACTGCCAATCTTCAAATGCTTAGAAATGCAATTTCTAATCTGGATCAGACCACTCAGACTCCATCCATAGCATATACAGATGCCATGTATCCACTCCATCCTGGCCTCTTCAAGGCCGGGTTAGATGAGGCTTTGAGCAACCTGATCTAGTAGGGGGTGTCCCTGATGATGGCAGGGGGGTTGGAATTAGATGATCTTTTAGGTCCCTTCCAACTCAAACCATTCTATGAATCTATGATTCTGTGTAGACAAAGTCAGACCCTCTCAGCACTTGGCAGATCCAACCTCATTCAGACATCAAAGGAAGATGGGATGAATCACCCTCTGATAGTAACGACCTCTGCACATCTGGCTCTGCAACCCCTTTGAGATACCAGACCCTGTTTACAGTTGTGTCACCTTCTGGTAGTGAAAAGGAACATTTTACTCTCTTGTTGGAATCACTGGTACAGCACCAAATCCTTGGTTTAGATACTGATCTGTGGAGTAGTTACAGTTGTTCAGATGCCTCCTGATCCTGTGGGTTTAAATGAGTTTTATGGGTTTAAATTCCTCTGGGAAACATCTCCCAGAAAGCGCAGAGCCATTTTAATGGCTTTTCTAAGCACACCTGTTCTTTGTCCCCGTTTAATCACTTCAATGCCTGTTTTTCCAATTGTACACAACATTTTATTAAACTGTACAAACAACACTGGCATTTAAAAAATTCATGTTAACCATTCTAATGAAACATGATGACCAGCTGCACAAACTGTGAGCACAGATGCCCCCTGCATTTCATACAGCACAAACAAAGATTTCATGAAAGTCACTGGACCAAACCTTTTTCCAGGGTGCTCTGCTTTTCTTGTTGATGTTAGGCACTTCTGCTCTTGGTCCTGCAGGATTCGGTGCCTGCAGTCACTGACAACGGTATCCCAGCACTGTCTACAAGGGCATCCTGTTGGGAGGTCCAAGTGGACAGCCTGGTCCAGAAAGACACCTCTGAAGGGAATCTGATTTTGGGATGACTCACCTTCTAGAGCTTCTCTTCACCATGGACTGGAGGGGTTGATGCCATGAAGGTCCAAATGTTTACACTTCAATTAGAGCCTAACACCAGCTTGGGTGACTGCCTAAATCTAAGTTATCACAGAATCCTCTGACTTTGACTTAATTTTAACCCAATATTTAATTGGTACCTCCATGACAAACAGTAACTGGGTGGTTCTACATCTCTTCAAACTCAGAAAACAGTGCATCTTTCTTTAAAAAGATCCTGCAATGAAAGGGTCACAGAAAAGACTTTTTTAAACCCATCTACATTTCCACAGACTGAGAAGGGATAGAACACACAGCAACATGTCACGAAGTGAAGGAGAGTACCACCCTCACCAGATGTGCCCTGTGACTGTTGGGTGCAACTTTTTGAACTCTATCTGCAATGCTTGCCAAAGAGTTGGGACATCATTTAGAGCAACAGAAAGTATATCAGCCTTTGCAAGGACTGATTACTACCTTTCAAGTAAAATATGTCAATGCTGTGACTGGAAGGCCAGTTTTATGACATTTGAACAATGGTTTGAAGAAACCTCTTCCACCTTTCTCAGGCAGTTTTAAGATAAAACTCCAGAAAGCCCAGTCCAGATTTTGCTCTGAGTCTGACATGTGTGAGGACAGTTAAAGCTTTAGAACAGGGGTTCTTGAGGCTTTCTACTAGACTGCAACTTCCCATCCTTCCTGCTCAAGTACTAAGTGTAAACCACTGTTTTTCTGTATTGATCTTGACACATGCCATGGCAATGATCCTCCTTCAGGGTTGAGATATACAAACGCTGGAATAGGCACCCGCAAAGTCTCTTTGTTCCTGTGGAGCAAAATTGAATCCTAACACCTGTGGACATTATTTTTAAAGTGTGTAGGGAGTTAAATTGCTTCTTCAAAACTCCTGTGCACAAGTACACAATTCTGCACATGTACAAGTGGAGGTTACCAAAGCAGCCAGCCTGAAGTCTTCCCAGATGCCTTCAGTCCTGAAGCAAACCATTTGTCCTTCAGAAGGATGTAAGCCTTGTAGAAATTGGCACTGACATCACCAGAAGCTCAAATATGCTTGTTTTTTTTCTTTTAGGGAAACCCATTGGCTGTGTGTACAAGTGGTGGGGAACAGGTTTTGGCACCTCCTCATTTTCAGATGCTCTCAAATTCAAGAACATTGGAAAAAGAGAGAAGAGAGAGCAAAAGATACCATGAAGAAACTTCATCATTAGTGAGGAGTGGATGGCATCTGCTACAGAATTTAGTAAGTTGGAAGCCTCCAAGCATCGTAAAAACTTTCACTGAGGTGTTTTTCTGGTGGGTTCTTGATAAAAATGACCATGTAGAGTCTTCAGTTGACAAAGTGTTACTCAAACCATTACAGAGAATTCCTTCGGTAAAGCAGATCTCAGGAAAATATTTTTTCCATTTTAGGGTTCACAAAAGAAAAGTTGCTGAACATATTTTGGTCCATGCTGTTAATCAGTGCTCTGTCGGCACAGGACAGTCTAGGTTTTTCATTTAGAAACTCCTTGTCGAAGTTGCTACAGTCACTCGGAGATTTCTTCAAGAAAAGGAAAAACAAACAAACAAACAAAAAGATGTCAAACTATTCATATTCAGATCTTGATTACAATGGTACTGGCCCTATCAGGCTGCTTCTTATGGGCTCAGCTCAACTAGTTGGGAGCAAGCTCAGCTCAGCCATGGAACCCACAATGCATTTGCTCTTGGCTTTTGGCACAATGATTAGTTACTCCGGCCCAAATGATGCACAGTAACATGTCAGACTGTGGTGAACTTCTGTCTAAGCTCTTAACATCCAGTAGCCAATGCTAATCACTTGCTTATTACCATCCTATTGAAGTAGTAATGGGAATAAATATTATATAGGAGACATTGAGCCTATGAATCCAGCCAGGGTAAAGGAGCTGTGGAAGGGTCTGGAGCACAAGTGTGATGAGGAGTTGCTGAGGGAACTGGGGTTGTTTGGTCTAGAGAAAAGGAGGCTGAGGGGAGACCTTCTTGCTCTCTACAACTACCTGAAAGGAGGTTGTAGAGAGGTGGATCTCAGTCTCTTCTCCCAAGTAACAAGTGACAGGACAAGAGGAAATGTCCTCAAATTGTGCCAGGGGAGGTTTAGTTTCGATATTAGGAAAAAAATATTCACTGAAAGGGTTTTCAGGCATTGGAACAGGCTGCCCATGGAAGTGGTGGAGTCACTGATGGTATTTAAAAGATGTGTAGATGTGATGCCATGGTTTAGAGGTGGACTTGGCAGTGTTAGGTTAATAGTTGGGCTCCATGATCTTAAAGGTCTTTTCGAACCAAAACGATTCAATGATTCTGTGATAGTTCACAATTATCTTTCCAATGACTGGATGCTGTGGCAGATCCAAAGGGTAGATGGTTTCAGCTGCTTGTATCTGATGTACACAACATACCAGACAGCCTGTGAACAATTTAATCAGCATTTGGACATTTAAGTAAGAGTCAACACTTCCCATTCTGACTGGCCAAGACCAAGGTACTCTTATCTACTTTTACACAGAGAGATTGTGTGTGCAGAGCAGCTCCAGAAGATAATTCTGAAAGTGTGAGGGCACTTTGAAAGTCTTAACTTGGTGCCTAAAACTGTTAGTTCCAGTGTGAAGCAGACATTTATCCACCTTTAAAATACTGAGTCCATGGATCTAAACAGGTTTTTGAAGTCTCTGACATCAAAGACCTGTGTGTGAAGATTTTGGACAATGCCCCTAAATAACACGTTTTATAACATTACTGTGGATTCTGGTATTGGTTTATTGCTAGTATGTGCTGGAGGGTTTAAATATTTGGGGAACGAATGATTCAGGAAAGAAAGACCTGAGATGGGTAGAAATGAAAGAAGATGCATCCTTACCACTCGTGGTTTGAAAGGAGGCTCCATCCTTCTTTCTTCTAAAGCCTCCCAATTTATTTCTCGGAAAAAGGCATGCTGGCGGATGTTCCCTTTTGCTCCCAGTCTCCTCTCAGGTTCTCTCACAAAAAGCTAGAATATTGAAGAAAGATAAATACCTTAGTCTTTTATCAATAACAGTATAATCATTAGGACAGGCCTACCAGATAGGGTCTCAGACTTCAAACTCAACATGGTTGTTGAGAGTGTAAAGATTCTTCTAACTTACTAAATTTCTGTTTGGAAAGCTTGTTTAGATTCTTAGCCTAATGTGCCAAAACTGAGAGACCTTGGACATAATTTCCTTTGCAGGAGAGAGAGGACAAATTTGCCCCAATGGCAACAACATGTGTGTCTGAGCATGCAAATATGCAGCTACACAGGTGAAACATCTGGATCTCACTTGCAAGCTTTGGTCTAGACAATTTCTTGTTATCAGGAAAATTTTTAAGGTTGACATATAAGCATAATTTGTGAAAAAAACTAGTCTGGTCTATTTGGGGTCACACTCACCCATACATACCCATATATACCTTTGGACACTTGGAGTGTCTATATTTGACCCTTTATAATTAATGGAGAAAACCAGATGTCCTAGGTGCAAATCATCTGACCTCCTTTACAAACTTAAAGATGAGATAAAAGACACTCTGGAAGTGCTTGCTTCTCTCCACTGACTAACTCAGATGTTGACAACTGTCTACTTTGTCAAAAGACTCCCAATTCACATAGCTTGTGTTTACTATGCACTACAGGCTACAATTCCTATGAATTACTAACTCTGCTGAAGGTAGGAAAAAACTAGAACTGGGGGCAAATATTAGGTTAGCTGGCCCATAGCACTCCAGATCCTAGATCCCTCTAAAGTCAATGCAAAAGAATAGTGGCCACACCTGATAGCAGGTGACCTGAATACAACCAGTATGTCCTACTTCAGAGCTAAGAACAAATTTTCAAAAGTGCTTTATTATTGGAGATGATCTTAAAATGGACTTGGGTTACAATGTCAGGAAATACTTCTTCACTGAAAGGGTTCTCAGGCACTGGAATGGGCTACCTAGGGAGGTGGTTGAGTCACCATCCCTGGAGGTGTTTAAAAGATGGGTAGATTGGGTGCTTAAAGCTATGGTTTAGTAGTGGACAGGTACGGTTGGACTTGATGATCTCAGAGGTCTTTTCCAACCAGGCAATTCTATGATTCTATGATATGGTAGAAGTTTCTTGCTACTCTATTTGGCCAACAGTGAGCCTATAACAGACACCACTCAGCAAAGAACAAATAGAAATATCTAATGCCAAAAGTGGCAGCAAAAGGATTTGATATATGGACCATCGAGGGCCTGTTTTAAAAAAATGACAGACATTGGGTTTTGGTGAACACTGTGGGCAAAGCCTCTCCAAAACTGAAGTGTTCTACAGGTAACTGATTACACAGCAGTGCAGATTCCCCAGGTTAAATTCTGTTCTGATAATGCAGGCATTAAGCAGGGCAGCATGTATAATTATCCAAAGTCAGTAGCAATGAGAATAGTAGATAATGGAGAAAAGTTTTATTTTTTTCCTAAGCAAGGAAGTTTATTGATTGGTATAAAGATAATTAACATCTCCTAAAGACCTAAAATATTCTCCAGTGAAAATCAAGCTGAACACCAAAGCAATCTACCCTAGATGTCCTTATATCTCTGAGGCACAAGAACTGCTTCAAATCCATAATTTTCAAGGAAGTCACTGTAACCTTTAGTTTGAATTCTGTCAGAATATCTTTTCCAGGAGTTAACATGATTTGCACCAGAGGATTGCTCTGCAAAGAAACTGATCTCTGCTGGTATCTGACACTCTGCGATCCTACTTACTGGATGTGAGGAGCCACCATCATAGTTTAGGAGAAAGGAGACACAAAGATGGGCTTATGATTTAGGTCAGGTGTGCTTTCAGGTCCACGGACAAGAAAGTGACTCTTTCTGGTCCTAACACTCTAAATTTGTTTCTCTGAACAGCAGCTGAAGATGCACAAATCAAAGATGACAGTTCTGCAGAAAGACTTTTGTTTGATGTGTGGTAATTCTTACCTTCACCAAAATGTCCTTTGCATCCTTGTCAAGCCAGCGAGGGTAGAATGGATTATCCATACGGATAGACTGGAAAAGCTCCTCTTCATCTTGGCCGTGGAAAGGAGATTGGCCAATAAGCATCTCATACAGGAGGACGCCAAAGGACCACCAGTCAACGGAGGTGTTGTACTTCTGCCCCAGCAATATCTGCCCAAAGAGAAGAGTGACAAAGGCAGATGCAAAATGTCTGACGTCAGTATTTCAGCTTCAGAAGGGTGGCCAGACTCTGACCTTTCAACAGCTGATTTGCACTGAGTGGGACAGCAGAGGTGCTTCTCCCTGCCTGCATCATAAGCCAGAGCACCTGCCAGTGGTGCAGAAGCTGTGGTTGATGGAGCTCCAAACTGCAGCCACATCTGGGTGCCAAAACAGTCCTTTGCACTACAGATAACAGGTTGCATGTTTCTTTAGTTCCTTTAAGTTACTTGAACAAATCCCTGGCTATCAGGGATATCTAAAGCATAAAAAGTGAGGCAAGTAATCTTTTGTCTGCTCTACAAATTATCCAAAGGGTTCAAATCAGGCTTGTGAACTCCAAGAAGAGAAATGGTTAGGTATTAGAATTTTGGGACTGATTTAACTCACGCAAGCTGTATTTTAAAATTGCAAGTTTGACAATGTAAAAGTACTTTAGGACTATCAGTCAGTGGAAATGGTATGAATCTATCCCAGCAAAATCTGCCCCCCAGGAAAAGCATGATGAAGCAGTTGCTCTTCTGTCTTCTTGAGATCAACTAAGTTGATACTTAGTAGTTGATAACTACTCTATATAGGTAGAGTAACAGGAGTTTGACAGGAGTTTGACCTCAGCCAGTCCATTGGTTTGTGCCTTTCTGTATCATCTATAAAGTGAAGGCTGCATCCAGTGTGTGGGTACCAGGGAGGGTCAGCTGCAGTGTCACCCTCCCCTAAGAAGGGATGTGGCATTTTCGTCCCCTAAGCACTTGGCCAAACATCACCAAGTTCTCAAACTTCCACTCTGGGGAAGCAAAATTAATCACACTTGCCTTTAGGTATCTGTTATGGAGATACTGAGAGCTGAACCAGTTATCATTAGCTCCTTTTATAGTCAAGGAAGATAATGAGTCCAATTTCAGACACCCAGCTAAGTATCTACCTGCTGTAAAATACAACTCCCCCATTTGTCTCCTTTGGTGTCCAAGGAGCTTAGACAATTTGCTCATATATAGAAATTCACATTGCAGACATCTAGAGGTACACGTGATGACTATGATGTCTAGGATCCTCATCAGGATTTTAGAGCTGGAGAAGGGAATAGTTCATTCTAAGGCATAATCTTTACTCTTGAGGCCACAGCTTGGTTGCAGTGTGATCCCCTATCCTATACCTATGGTGTAGATAGTAATGACAAGCCCTGGAGATGGTTTAATACCAGTGAAAACAACTATTCAGATCAGTACACATCAAACTGTTGATTGTTTAAAAATTATGATTGAGATATGTGATCTTTACTGCTGGCCCTGAGGTACAGTGGAACTGGGTGAGTAATTTCTTGACTGTTTTCATACCTTGTCTTCATTGCTTGCAAATTGCCACTTGGGCCCAGATTCATCTTATTGCCTAGAAATTATGTGTCTTCTTAATTTAGTTATCCAGAGTCTCTCTACAGTCAGTGGAGGGAAAATGGTGATTTAACTGATTTACACACCTAAGATAGGAATGGATGACTTGTCTTCTGGGATGCTTGTCCTTCTACAACACTATAAAGTTCCATCTAACACTTCATTTTTAGATGAATTTTCTCACATTAGGTGAGAAGTGTCCCCCTCTGATGTACCTGTGGCATCTAGCAAAGCAGGACCTTAATATCAGAAGTGTAAACCCAAGCTGATGTAGAGTGCTCATAACTAACACAACCTTTTCCAAAAATGTCAAAAAGAGGAGATGCAAAAAGGACAAGAAAGATATTTGAATATAAGTCACAGTATATACAGTGAGCTCAGAGCCAAAAAAAAGGAATCAGCAAGACTCTCTAATATATTTATTCTGGATCACTTATAAACAAAATCATCCCAACCTTTCCTTCTGAAAAGACATTATTTTTATAAGGCTTTGCCTTTAAAGTATAAAATGTCTGGAAATTGAAATTAAATGTTGCATGGAAGTCAAAGAAAAGATTTATTAGCTTTGCAATTCTCTGGAAAAAAATAAATAAACTCAGCAAATTCATTTCAGGTTCAGTCTTTTTTTTTTTTTTTGTCAAATATTTTTTGAAATAAAAACAATTGCTTGTCTACTGACCCAGAGCCCCCTTATTTGCAGGTCTGTAGCCAAGGTGCTGGTTCTGTAACAAATTACAGTGTTAGCAACTGTGTTGAAATACTGACAAAAAGTCCAGTGCTCCTGCCTCTGGCAGGAGAGATGATACATAAACTCTAGCAGTGCTTTCAGTTTAGAGGTAAAATGTTTTATATGCACTCACTGAATCTCTAAAATAAATGACGGTGCAGAAATAAAACTCTGAGCTATTTTAGTCTTTGTTATTTCTATGAAGTAAAATCACAGATAATGGATTATCATTTGTTATCACTTGGCTCTTTTTTAGGATCAGAAAATAGCTTTTTTTAAAAAAAATAAAAGCATATTGAAGTGGAATAAAAGACAATTGTAACTTGATTGCAGAGCATACTTACACCTGCTCTTATGCAATACAAATCCAATTGATCTGAAGAGACCAGCCCTTGTGTCAGCAGTGGTGTAACCTACATCAGAATTGAGCCCTTGCTGCACAATGAGAGATCAATGAATTATCGTGAAAAGGGAAAAAAAAAAATCAAAAGCTTTAAAAGCTATTTGGAAAGTACCAATATCCATCATGAAAACACTAAAATCAGGAAATGGGATCTTGAAAGGCAAATAAATGGATTTCAGAGTGATGTTGGACATGATGCATGGATGACTCGTAGGTTCTTCTCTGAGCTGAAAAATGTTTTCTTTGGCCCCAGTTTGCCACCTAATTAGTCAAAGCCTCTCTGTAGTAAGATCTATCATTGTGTGAAATCACCAGGTTAAGGGAGCTTTCTCTTTTCTCAAAGGATCTAGTCCAAAATATCTAAATTTACTAGGAAAAAAAAAATATTGAGCAAGTTTCTGTCTGGGAAAAAATGGAAAGAAATAAGGGGAAGGACAAAGGATCTCACTACTGGTAAGCTGGAATCTGGTGTCTATGACCACCCAGTTCTATTGCATGGGCACATGGAGGCCAAGTTCAGCTTTTCTCCAAGTATCAGTAGATGTCAACTGAAGAAGGATAAGAAGAACTATTGGTATTTTTTTGCATGGAGGTTGGAGACAAGTCCCAGCCTTCCTAAGACAAGGGGACAGACCAGGACCCTAACAGACTTTACAAGCTCTGCTTTGCCCTTGTCAGCTCAAACACAGACTGTTCCTGATATAACCCTGTCATCTCTAGTTTTAGAACCTCCTTCACCAGGAGGCAACTTGTGGAGGCATGTCCTCCAGGGATGGATTCATGCAGTGATATGAGGTGCTCTGGTACCATGCACAGCCAAAGCAGAGAAGCAGGTAGTCCAGAGCCCAGAGTTAGCAAGTTGGGTTCCAGCTGTTCTTCAGACAGCAACATTTCTCCTCTGACCGCTGGCATTTAGAGGGGAAAAGTCAGGATCTATGACCATTCTCATGTTTATGTCTCCAAGCGTCTCCATCCCGTTTACAAGCAGCTATGGGTTGTTTTTTATCTAGACAGACCTTCAAGTCTGTGCTTAGTTTTAAGGTTATGCCTCTGATGATAGAGCCTTTTCAGAGCATATGGTGCCTTATTCAGCTCTGGGATGATGCTCGTGATGCAGGCTGTGTTTGCAGCTATCTAAGAACCTGTCTGAGTAAGGAAGAAGTCCAAGCTTATGGGTGCCATCCCTATTCAAGCATCAGAGCACATGCCAGAGGGAAGGTGAACCCAAATCACTGCTTTCTCATGGACCCAGCCTCTCGTCTCTGTCTAAAAGGTGGCTAATCAATGAAGAGGGAGAATCAGCTCCATGTGGGCATTTTGTCCCACCTTTCTCTATTTTCTCTCTTAGATTGTGATGAACATCATTCCTTAGAAGTGCCCACAGCTCCCTACCAGCTATCAAGGATCCTGTACAGCCATGGAAGCCTACTGTTAGCTAGCTAGGGAACATGCTTCCAATTCTTTGTGCTCTTTCTATCCCTGAATTTCAGGACCTACCTCTTGGAGTTTCTTCTACCATGGTCCAAACTAGATTTGCATTAAGCATTCTGTTTCTTGATTAAGCCAAGCACCACTTGCTTCCCAGGCCCATTAGCACAAAAAATGAATTGGTCAGAAAAAAATATTCAATGCCAGACAGCAACGCAGACTCTGAGTCAAACTGAAATCCATTTTCTAGCCTGGAACTGCTCAAGATCAGGTTATTAGCCTTTGCACTCTCCACCACTGACAGACAGTCACGTCCTAAGACACATTCTCTGTCTCACAGCAGCTTGCTGACTTCTCTGAACCCCACACTTACCTCAGGAGCAATGTAGTCAGGAGTCCCACAGAAAGTACTTGTCTTTGCATCTCCAAACATGTTCTCCTTGCACATCCCGAAGTCAGCAATTTTGATGTGCCCCTCATTGTCTAAGAGGACGTTGTCTAGCTTCAAGTCTCTGTGGAGGAAGAGAAGGAAACCCCTTCTTTAAGTGTTACAGAGTCGCACAAGTGATTTTACCAGGTTACATGTTTCAAGGTACCATCTGCCTCTATGTAGTGCCTACACATTGCAATTACAAAGGAAGGCTGAGAGCTGAACGAGGAGTCATTCTCTTGGACTTCAATATCCCTCTTCATTTCTCCTGTCCCAGCACTGATTAATTTGCTGGAGAAGACTTTACCCAAGATATCTTCTAAAAGCTACCTCCTTTGAGGATACAGAATAGTGAAGCTGAAAAGGACTTTGTGCCAGCTGATGCTTCTACCCTAACACAGCCTGGAGAAGGTGAGCAAGAAGGGACCAGCTAATGCTCACTTTCTCCTTCCTTGAAAGTCTCAGTTCTCCCTCTGAAGCTGCTTTCAGCTCTCCCTCTCAGTGCAGGCTCTACAAATGTTGGAAGAGGTAAGGACCCACAAGCCCTGCACAGCTTGCAGAGGGTCAGAATAATCCCAGACATCAGCAGAACTTCCACCACCTTTTCACTACCAAGTAGCACTATCTGAGCCCCAGGGATTTACAAAGCCCTTCACACACAGCTGCCTAGCTGTTGTCAGAGGTTTCAGGCTCTGAGCTACTGTGGGAAGCAAAGAGCCCCGACAGAGAGAAAAAAGAAATACAAAGAGAAGGAAATAAAAGCAAGTGAGCTGATGAATCATGACCATTGTCAGAGAACAAAGAGGTCCTCATGTGGGGGCAACCTCTGAAAGGAGAGAAAAACATGTAAAGAAAGAAAGAAAAAGGCAGAAAGAAAGGAAGGCTGGCATGGCTTCTATTTAATATAAATAAATAAATATTTATATTTATATTT